TCTTTTTCATTATTTATCCTTGAGGGTGGGGAGCCTGCCTGTGTGTTCTGAACTCTGTGTGTTTCCAGGGACACAGTCTATATATTCTTCAAGGCTCGCTCTGAACTCTCAGCCAAAGCTTCAAGGTCAGAGGCAACTAGATATCGGGAAACACTCTATGTCATAGAATAAAATTAAACCAACAACAAATTTTCGTGTTCCTAAACTGAACAAGAGTCTCATAACACAAAATCAAAGGGCAACTGGATCCTCCAGGGTGAGCATTACTTCATTTAATGACTTACTTGGAAAGGCAAGTTGTTTGCCTGAAAGGAAATACACATGAAATAGATCAGAAATGCAGTAAACAATCGCTTCATTATCAGAGTTCTCAAAATAAAGACACTTTTCTCTCAACTCCAGAGGCTCAAAAGTTTTTGTTTTACCAATAGGGAAGATGTATTTGCCTGAGCCTGACTGAATTGAACCTAAAATAATGAAAAATTAGGTTAATTTTCTTTTTTTTTTTTTTTAAATATTTTTATTTATTTCTAGGATAGAGAGAGACAGCGTGAGCAAGGGAGGGTCAGAGAGAGAGGGAGACACAGACTCTGAAACAGGCTCCAGGCTCTGAGCTGGCAGTCAGCACAGAGCCCGACGCGGGGCTTGAACCCATGAACCGCGAGATCATGACCTAAGCGAAAGTCGGCGCTTAACCGACTAAGCCACCCAGGCGCCCCTGAAAAATTAGGTTAATTTTCAATTCCATTTCTGCATGGGAGCTGTTGGCTTGGTGGCACAGCGTAATAATAACATATGTGTTAATTTAAATACCAGTTGACATATAGTATAATGATTTCAGGAATAGAATGTAGTGATTCAACACTTTATTTTTTTAAATGTTTTATTTATTTCTGAGAGAGAGAGAGAGAGAGAGAGAGAGCATGAGCAGGGGAGGGTCAGAGAGAGAGGGAGACACAGAATCTGAAACAGGCTCCAGGCTCTGAGCTGTCAGCACAGAGTCCAACAGGGGGCTCGAACCCACAAACAGTGAGATCATGACCTGAGCCAAACTCGGACGTTTAACTGAGTGAGCCACCCAGGCACCCCTATTCATCACTTAAAAAAATTTTTTTTAACGTTTATTCATTTTTGAATGACAGAGAGAGACAGAGTGTGAGCAGGGGAGGGACAGAGAAAGAGGGAGACACAGAATCTGAAGCAGCTCCAGACCCTGAGCTGATAGCATAGAGCCCGACACAGGATTCAAATCCAGGAACCATGAGATCATGACCTGAGCTGAAGTCAGACACTCAACTGACTGAGCCACCCAGGCGCCCTGATGATTTTTTTTTTAAATCTCAGCATTGTTAAGTGCCCACCACATTTATGTATGTATTGATATATATTGGGGAAAAATGTTGTATTAGATCACCAGATTCAATGATAAAAAATCCATGTTAGGTATGTGGTATTTAAGATACAAAACAGATGAACATAGGGAAGGGAAGGGAAGCAAAAATGAGATAAAAACTGAGAGATACAAACCATAAGAGACTCTTAAATACAGAGGGGGATGGGCTAAATGGGTGAGGGGCACTAAGGAGGACTCTTCTTTGGGGGAGCACTGAGTGTTATAAGTGATGAATCACTACAGGGGCACCTTCTCTCTGCCCCTCCCCGGCTTGCACTCTGTCTCTCTCAAAAATGAATAAACAATCAACAAAAAAGATTTTTAAATTATCAAAATTTGGGTAGCCTGAGTGGCTCAGTTGGTTAAGCATCCAACTCTTGGTTTTGGCTCAAGTCATGACCTCAGGGCTCATGAGTTTGACCCCCCACATCGCGCTCTGTGCTGATGGTGCGGAGCATGCTTGGGATTCTCTCTCCCCCTAACTCTCTCCCCCTACCGTGCTTGCACGCTCTCTCTCTCAAAATAAATGAACTTAAAACAAGTTTTTAAATTATAAAATTTTTTAAAAATATTTTTTTATTTATTTCTAGGAGAGAGAGAGAGACAGCGTGAGCAGGGGAGGGTCAGAGAGAGAGGGAGACACAGACTCTAAAATAGGCTCCAGGCTCTGAGCTGGCAGTCAGCACAGAGCCTGACGCGGGGCTCGAACCCACCAACCGCGAGATCATGACCTAAGCGAAAGTTGGACACTCAACCAACTAAGCCACCCAGGCACCCCTAAATTATAAAATTTTTTCAAAAGGTTGCTATATTCTTTAACAGTAGTGACCGTCAAGAAGTGGTTTTGGAGAAAGAGAGAACATTTCTGTTTCTTTACAGTGATTCCCCACTGTTCACATCTGTCAAACTGAGTGAAGTAATTTAAAAAAAAATTTTTTTTATGTCTATTTTATTTTGAGAGACAGAGAGTGAATGGGGGCAGGGTAGAGACAGACGCTTAACTGACTGAGCCACCCAGGTGCCCCTGAATTAATTTTTATAATAAAAGGAAGGGTGGGGGAGCCTGGGTGGCTCAGTCGGTTGAACATCTGACTTCAGCTCAGGTCATAATCTCGCAGTCCATGGGTTCGAGCCCTCCATTGGGCTCTGTGCTGATAGCTCAGAGCCTGGAGCCTGCTTTGGATTCTGTGTCTCCCTCTCTCTCTGCCCCTCCCCCACTCACACTGTGTCTCACTCTCAAAAATGAATGTTAAAAAATTTTTTTAAAAAGTGTGGAGATTATAACTGCCAAGAAGATGCCCACCAATGAAGGGGTACTGAATAAATGAACAAAGGGCAGGAGAATTTTGAGGGTGGGACAGTCCAGGAGGGCTTCCCAGCAGAGTCTGGGGAATGGGAAGGTGGGGAAGCAGGGACAAGGTTCGTATCTGGGTCCAGCCCCTCTCCTACAGCGTCAGTGGGTCAGTCCTGGGAAGCCTGACGGACACCTAAGTTAACAGACTTGGTTATTTCTTAGCTTGACACCTAGGTTGCAAAAAATATAAAATAGCATAAAACGCTGTTTTCAGGTCCACTTGCTCATCTCTCTCACTGGCTTGATACGAAGTTCTCGTGTGGCCCCAGTACACTCCTGCAGTCTGACTCTGGCCCCAGTGTCCTGGCCAGGGAAACCCGACTGTGACACAGAGAGGATGCTGCTGGCGTTCACGGGTGAGTGGGGCTCAGCCGGAACCAAGACAACAGCATTTTATTTCTTGGTCACTGTTACAAATGAACCAAATTGGCACGTTTTCTTTTTAACTTCGGGAAACTTTTTTGTTCTGAGTTACCATACCCTGAAGGCATTGATGAGTGTGACCCGCGCTGGGGTCTGGGGACGTGTGGCTAGGGATCAGAGGTCGCACACGGGCGGTACCCGCGGAGGGAGGTGCTCCTGCGACCCCGCGTACAGCGCGTCCTGGCTTCCGGTGAGCTAGGAGGGGGACTCGGCTCCCCCACGTCTCCCCAAACACCCCATCTTCTCGCTGCCGGCCCAGGGGCGCTGCGAACTTCGTGCTCCGCAGCGGGTGCAGTGCCTGCTTGCGGGACTGGCGGTCGGTCGAGCGCTGATTCCAGCTGCGGCCGCCAGGGGGCTCCTCCGGACACCAGACTGTCGCGAGGCCTCAAGAGTTTGTGTGTCCGGTACTTGCCCAGGGCACACTGTTAGTGTGTGACACAAGCAGGGCCAGAAGCCAGCTCAGGGCTCCCGAAAGGGAGCCCGCGAGGTGGCGGCGGCACCTGCGCGCCCGCGGAGGCGCCCCTGAGGTGTCAGAGCGCGGCCCTGCACCTGCACCTGCCGCAGCTCCTGGGAAGTGGCCCCGGCCTTCCTGGAGAGGACTGCGGCCGCTGCAAGTCATGGTTTCGGGCGTAGGTGGAAGTGCGGGCAGTCGAGGCACGGCGGTCACAAGGTAAAGCCAGTCTGGGGCCTCCACTGCCATCGTGGTGTGTCTTTTGTCTTCCTGCAGCCGACACTCCTGGCCCTTCACCCCCACTTCTGTGTGTGTGTGCTATCCCGCAGGCCGCTGGTTCTCACCCCCAACTGAGGGTCCCCCGGGGCGCTTACAGAGGTAGAGCAAAGCACACAGAACACCACGTGTGTGTCCGCTGACTGATGCAGGGGTCCCGGGTAGTGCTTGGGCATCGGCACTCGGCTCCCTAAGCGGTTCTGCAGCGCCCGCGGCATGGCCAGGAACTCGAGTCCCAGGGAACCGTGTGGGTGGGTCCCCGGGCCATCTTCTGGCTGGAGCCTCTAACTCATGTGGACAAAGACTGGGACGCACCAGGGGATGACACATCCTGCTAGTCCCTTGACCTGTTGGGGTTGGGTCAAGACCACTTCCCGGCCACATTGGTGCTCTTACCCTTTCACCTTGTCCCCCGTGGGCCTTTTCTCGAGGCCGCTGCTGGCAGTCTGTGGAGTGTGTACTTTTACTTTTGTCCAGAAAAGAATTCAACTCCTAATACGGTGGCTATCAGCTGACCCAGGCCTCACAGATAAAAGCTCCTGGGGGGGAGGGGGCCTCTGCTAAGTGTACAGGGTTAGGGTTTAGGGTTAGGGTCAGAGGGCTCCTGGGGCCAAAGGTCTGGGAAGCATGGCTGGGATCTAGGGACTCAGCATTGGTCTTTTTCCTTTAAGATGGGGTAAAGCTGTCTCCCCCTCCCTCCCCCCACCAACCCGGGGCAGTGAGCTGCAATGCAGTGAGGTACATCTGGGAGCGGCTCCTGGCCACCACCGGAAGGGACAAGGCCCAATAGCCCGTAGACTGGGAATCACCTGGGGAAGCAAGCAGCACCCCATCTGGAACATGAACAAAGCAGTAGCTACTGTGCGAGCCTGGTCCCCCGCCCAGCCCGCCTGCCAAGGAGGAAGGGGCCCTGCCAACCCGGGCGCTCAGGCCTCCACCAGCTCCTGGATGCAGGCTGCACTGGCTTTTCGGTCATTTCGGGTGGGAACGCGCACAGCTTAGACCCGCTTCTGAGCCCAAGTGAGCCGGAGGACTGTCAGCGGTCTTCCTCTCCCGCTCCCCACCGAATTCCTTAAATCAGAGACACCAGCACAAGACTGTCATTCACTTTTCCGCATACTTTATTTGTTACAAACATACAATTTTTAAATATAGACTGTAAAACTCCATTTGCAAAATCTGCTATCACCAGGAGTGCACACCAGCGGTAAGGATTCTTACACTTTTTTTTTTCCCTCTGCTTGTCTGTCAGTCTCGCTAGTTAGTGGTGAGTACGGGATCCGCCTGTCACAGGCCTGCCGGAAGCTTCTGGCTGTGCTCGCGCCGGGCTTTGGTGGCAGCCCTGCTTGTCTGGAGACTCGCAGGCGCCTGAGCCGCCATCTCCAGGAGGTGAGCTCCGCAGCCCGTCTACACTCTGCTTCTGAACGGTTTCCAGGAAGTGTGATTTCTGAACGGCACTGCGCCTCACGGGTTTGTCAGAATCGCCCATGCAGCTGTTTGTTAAAGTGCATTCTTCTTTTTGAAAAATAAGAGGAGTCATCTTTACTCTTTAACCAAGGTACTTAAAAAAATGAACTTTTTGGTCTCTCAGCAGATATTCCCAAATTGATCCTAACGCTACAAATTTTAGTGTTCTATTTACAAATATTTATAGGGTTACAGGTAGAGGAGACCTTATAAAATTAAAGGTGCGACTTCTCTTGAAGCAGAAATCAGTTCTACAGATCCATACACAGGAACACACACTTGGTGTACGACGCACAAGCATGTGGGTATTTACACAGAGACCGAAGACATCCCCCCAGTAAAACATCTAGTTGTCCGTCTAGAGCAGGAGGCTCTGTCTCTTGCTGTTTGGTTTTAACTCATTTCAACAACTTGTGCAGATTCTCTACTGGAAGGACATCAGTCCCAACTCTGGAGTGGAGACTCTGGTCTAAGGAAGCCCCTGGTGGTCATGACCGGCAGGGAAAGTGCCTACAGAATGGACGGTGTGCCACCTGGACCTATGAGAAGACAAATGGACTTCTAGAAGTGATCCTGGGAAAACATTTGCATGAAGGAGCAAAAGGAAGAATAAATCCCCACTAATGCACCGATAATCTGTTATTATTCAAATATTGATAATCACTGAAAAAAAAAATCTAAATAGACTCACCTGCTACCACAACATGTAAAGTACAGACTCTTTACAAGTATGCCCTGTACTGACTTAACCTCAGTTTTTGGACTTTTGCCCCGTCTAGGAACTTCTAGGAATCCAGAGACTTTCTGAACAAGGAGGAGACACATGTGGGAGGAAAGGGTGCGTGCCCCGCATCAGAAGAGAACGTTTACAATGAAACTGTAACCAAATTCCTAGACACAAATGTGCTTAGTGATACAATCCTGTTCCTTGCCTTTCTTGGGGCTCTCCTGCTGCCCTCAGTCCCGGAAAAGGGAACTTACAAAGGGAAGAAACATACTACTTGCCATTCTGTTTGCAAACCGACTGCTTTGACCTCGCCTGGTGTTACAGCGCAGCATGAGGCCCGGGCTGGAAAGTCCGCCTGTGGGAAACAATGTCTAGTCTAACTCCCTTTTCTTGAGTTTGCTGTTGGGAGCTACTGAAGGTAGGAAAAAAGAGAGACAGGCTCCTGTCACCTACAGGATGCTCGAGCACAAGGAGTTTGGACAGATCTGCCAAGGTCTCTCAACACAGTGCCCCCTATCTCATCACCCTAAAGCCGGAGTCACCCTCCCCTCGTCCACGTCAGCGGCCATGTTACAAGCAGGGAACATGACATTTGCTCCTAGACCCAAAATTTCATGCTAATCAAAAGTACAGTCACACTCTTTCAGCAAACCATTTGTTAGGATCATCTCTGGGGGGGGGGATTTTTTTTTTATTTTTGGTTCAAATATAGCTCTGCCCTCCTGTTATCAAAAGCCCAACCGAGCAGTGAAACTACCACTGTGGTGTCTGCTGCCGTGTGAACACGACTCTCTCGATTCCAGTCAATGTCTAATCCGAGGAAGGAGGAGTCAGATTTTCAAATGAAACGTTAAGAGATGGGGGGGGGGGGTGAGGAAGGGTGATTATGCTGATGGCATATTCCCTATGTCATTAGGAAATACGAAAATACATTCATAAAAGTCTTACTTGGATAAGGGGAACGGGTGTTAACTAGAAATTGCCAGAGTAAAGTCTTTGTGATACAACTAGATTGTTTTCTCATTCTCCCCAGGTCGAATTTCCTCCATCCTGACAACTGGACCACACTTAGCAAAAGAATAGTAATGAAAACTGTTTTAAGCCCAAGGGCTGGAAACAGTGACTTTAACTAGCAAACTGAGATACAGGAAGAGAGCCCACCGCCCCCGAGTGTGAGCTCCTAAAACTTCAGGGCATGGACTTGGAATTTAAGGAGTTTGCTTTTCTAGATGAAAAACTGGGAACATGAAGTTCTGTCTGGAATTGCACCCGGGGCCCTGACATGCACGGTTTTACTTTTGTGTCTGTATTTTTAAGGTACATGTGGTTCTTTTTTTTTCCTCTTTTGTCCAAACCATCTCCCCCACCCACCCTCACGCCCACGATCCAGTTTACTCAAGGGGGACGGTAACTGTTTAGGAAGACAGCGAGCTGGTTTACAGTAACCCCAGGAGCAGCCCTGGGAGCTGAGTGTCTCAGTCACTTACTAGGGCTTCAGCACTGCTGTTGACAGGAGGAAAAACAACAGAAAGTTACCTTAAGGCTTAAGGGAAAGTAACCATCACATCGTGAACGCAGCATCGTCAACTCTCCCACGCATTGGAAGCTAGCAAAACGCATTCTGGTCAAGAATACAAACTTTTTAACGTTAGCAAAGATTTTCACTCTTCTTACACAGAACAATATTCATAAGCAGATTATCTAAGGGAGCCTGAGAAACCGTGACCACATCACACAAAGATCCCATGTAGCTCATTATCAAAAAGTGCTTTAGCTCTGAGAAATATGTCGGGGTTCCAATGGAAATATACAATGTCAAATAACTCGACACTTTCTCAAGTGAAGTACGAAGTGGAAAAGGAGCGAAACAGGCGAGGCCCTGCTCTCCGAGCAGGCCTCGTGTCTGGGACTTTCAGGGTGTATTAAATTAAAATCGTTTTAAGAGTTAACAGTGGGGTTTTCACACCACTATATATATTCTAAAACCTGAGAATGGACACCAAAGCAGTCAACTTTGTTACTTATCAGAGCAATTCTGATACTTCCTAAAATAGAAGACAACTCAATTGAATTAATACCTCCAGGGTCAAAGCCATGAACTTTCCCCAGTCAGAAAGGAGACAAAGCGCATGAGCATTTGCCACTAAGTGTGCTGCCGGCGGCTCCCTGGTAAAGGGACCACCTGCCCACCTGCCCGCACACAGAGTTACTGCTCTCCTTCCCTCTCACTGATCAAGGCCACGCTATTTGCAAATGAATATCTACTGAGAGATCAGTTGTGCATTGGACAAAGTACCATCAACAGGGTGAAAAATGAAAACAAAATTTACAATGAAGGATACTCATGCGGGCGGCTTACACACTCAAGCTTCTTCAGCGCATCCACCTCGACAGCAAGGCAGACGCCAATGGGACAGTCACCTTGCCACACCTTGCATCGGGTGACTACCCTCAAGTAGAGCCCGTCAAGGTCACATGTAACAAAGCGTCCTAGGCAACCACAGTGCCTGCGGTGTGCAGCCGTTTTCAGACCACTCAATATGAGGGCATTATTATAACCAGCCTCTTTTGCCCACAACCCTGCATTTTCGGATAAGACAGGAGAATTGGTTTGTTTTGAGAAAACTGAAGTTCGCGTCTCTTAAAAGACCTGCGTCTACCGCAGAACAACGGAGGGAGCGGAGGCAGCGGGAGGTGACTGGCTGCCCGCACCCAACGCTTCTCCATCGTTTTTGCAGTAAACAGTTATGGAAAGTGACTTGACAGGTGGCCGCGTGTGCACCGTGGCCACAGTCCCTTATGCCAACTACATGCCTCCCACAGCAACATAGGGTGTCTGGGTTTTCCGTCCGGTTTCCGCTTGGATTGGGGGTGCCGTGCGGATGGACATTTCGCTCCGGGCAGGGTGTGCGCACAGGACTTTCTGTGCTGCCCTGCTGGAACGACAGCAGGGACAATGGGAATCAGAAGGGACTAGTGGGATCTCGTCATAGACTTTTGCTCTTTTGATTCTGTGCCAAAAATTTGACTTCTCGCATCTCTAACCACAGTAGTTTTGAGAAAAACGATTCAGCAATCGTCTGAAAGGGAAGTTTAGTTCCCTGCTTCTCAGAAACAGGACTATTTGGAACATGTGATACGCTGGGATGTTTGCCAAAGTTAAAAAAACAAGCCCTAAATCACTGTTCGTAGGAGAGGAAGAGACGAGAGATAAAAAAAAAAAAAATCGGTTGTCTCCCAATCCATAAGGCCATATTGTGGCCGAAATCAACCAACATCTTCTCTAAGGAGCACGGTTTATGAACGAGTTCCCAAACACGGCCCTGCTGGACCCACCGCACATCAAAACTTTCTATTGCCCCAGATCAGGGAGCAGAACGAGGGCCGGTGAACCGCTACAGCGAATCCACGCTCTCCCATAACCTTCCTGCGGGGACGGGAGAGGCCCGAACCACCCCCGCAGGAGGAACTAACCTCTTAGATTGGTTAAGACTTAAAAACCCACCACTATGACGTCTACCACTTAATCTTACATAGGCAGGTCAAAATTTTAATATAAATTACTTTTTCCAACACATAGCTTATGCATTCTTGGCTCCTGTTTTTGGAGGATTCTCAAATTGATATCTAAAGATTTACATATGATATATTACTGTTACACGGTCTAATGACTAAGAAAATTTCTCTGGTAACCAAAGCTGATCCCATATATGGTAGCGCTCCTGGCATACAGTCTATATGCCTCAGACCACTTCCACATTCTTTCTATTCAGCTAATTATAGCTTAGTAGCCACTGGTGAAGGGTTGCAAAGACCCTGTCATTTCTACAGAGTAGAAAGGCAAGGCTCAGGACTGCGATTCAGCCAAACGAAAAGAAAAGAAAGACAAACCAACCCCTTAAAAAGGAGAGACGCTGCACCTTTGCAGAACTGCACTGGCTCACGGCCGCGGAGCAACAGGAACCCCCGCGGAACCAAAACAGACCCGTCGGTCTACACGGGACTCGTACATGGTTTGAAAAGGAAAGTCACAGCAGTGAACCGAGAGCTGCGACCTCACTTTCCATCGCTGCCTTGAAGTCTGAAACTGAAACAGTTTCTGCAAACTTAATGCCAGCTTCTCGGCGCCCTTACCAAAACTATGTAGGGATTTGTTCTCCGCAGCAAAGAAATAAACACTCAAAACACATAAGTAAATACAGCAGGACATTATTGAAAACAGCTGCCTTGTAGTACAAAATACAGTACAAGTATACAGATGTCATTAAAACATCAAAAATACTATTGCTCCCATACAATTTAGGAAACATTCTTTGCAACGGAGAAAGTTTTTTTTTTTCTTAAAAAAAGGAAAAGCCTTAAAAAAAATCTGTTTAAAAAGTCTACTGTGGATGATAAGAGTAGAGAAATAGTCTGAAAAGGGCACCATTGTTTGTGGCTCTTCCACTTAAAAAAAAAAATCTAAGATAGACAGTATTTCTGAACCAGTCTAATTTTTAAAAAAGCCTAATTTTATGTACAGTTCTTTCCCTCCCCCTCGGCCACAATGCATGAAAACGACCTTTTTGTAGATCACTTATTTCCCAATAAATACAAAAAGACTGTATAGATTGAATAATACCAAAATAAGATAATAAAAAGGGTATGCAATAAATTAAAAGGCAGCTCAAATAAGGGCAGGCATGCAGTTAAAAAGAAAAACAAAACTAAGATCGTTGGAGGTGGGTGTTACCTGCCTCCCAGTTGAGGTGTCGCACAAGGCAGGCCTAAAAACTTTGGAAAGAACGTTAGCTCCCGTTCAATTCAAAGTCACCTAGCTCTGTGACACTTCTAGGAATACCTTTTGATGGGGTGGGATGAACTTGATTAGTAAAAATCATTTCTACTGAAAATCCATTTAAAATATAGAAGAGGCGATCCTTGAAAACCCCAACTTTTATTCTTGAAAAACAGCTGGATCCACTGGCCAAGGGCCAGTCTGTAGAAATTTCAAGATGGTATAAAAATGCTTCCAGGACATAGCGTTTTCACGTTCTTTGTCCCCATGTAGATGGATTTCAGCTTCCGAAGGGCACACGGCTCGAATCACTCATCCATCATTTGCCAACTTCGATCGTGAGGTACTGAAACAATGGATCAAGTTCTTACAAATCTACTTTAAAAGAATAGATGATGCTGGAATTCTGGACCTGAGGATCTTTAGTGTTTGAGTAAATCCACAGATTCAACTGAAGGTAGATGAAGACTTCAGTTTTGGTTATCCCCAACTTTCCCCAGAGGACGTATATTCCATTAAAGCTCAGGCTTGTAGCCACACGGTTCCTTTCGCAGGGATCTTCAAGTTTTACGGTTTAAAATCCAGCCAACCAGTGGCCCAAATGGCCGAAGTGGCCATAATTTGCTGGCTTGTGCGGTGCAGCGCTGGAGAATCCGGCTCTTATTCACCCCTAAGCCATCTCTGGGTAAGACCTCAGTGTCTGCAGACCTGGGGAGAACTTTCGTGAGCGGCGGCCCACCTGCTCCGTCCTCCTTGTGCTTGATGCCGGTTTTCTTCCTGTGTCTGCCTCAGCAATCTCCAATGTAAGACTGCTCTTAGCTTCGGACAAATTTTGCCAACTTCTAAGATCCTTTAGTAACAGATTCTAGTTGAAGGATCGACACCTGACTCCATTTGCATCCAGGAAAACAATTCCGCAAAAAGACATGAACACTGGTCCAAGTTCTGCAAAACCACTGAAGCAGGAACAATGCAACCGGTTCCTACATTTCCTGGTGGCTACTTGAACTGCTCTTTTGCCCCGTCCATGATTACTTGGAGCTGCCTTCCTTTGCGTGAAACTTGTACTCCCAGAGCCAAATAAAGGTAAAAGCCTCTCTCAAGAATCCCATAAAGACCCAGATCCAATATGCTGATTTCAGTGGAGGTGAAGTAATCGACACCAGGACAATGAGGTCTGGAGAGATGGTCAGGCCGGGACACCCAGGGGTGACACCAATTCGGCTGGCATCAGTGGCCCCGGGCATGTGCAACTCTGTCCCTTCCAGGGTTACCCTGGCAGGTTCAGAGACCTTGGCTGAAAACAACGTAAGTCGAGACGATTTTGCTCAGGTTGTCCTCTTTGCAGATTGCTGTTAACTCCTTGGAACTTTGCTGCTTTTAATTGTTCGCGACTGTTCTTTTACGGTTATTTCTCTTAATTAACTGTATTATTTTTCATTGTGTGTTCGCCCGACAGGGGCCCCCTCGCTCCGCCTCCACTAGCTCCCAGGGGATGAGCGGGAAAGGGGCTCTCTGGCCAAGGAGACGGTGGTGGGGCGGGGGGCCCATCGGGGAAGCGGCGCGCTTTGCGTCAGTCCTCGTCCACCTCCTCGCCCTCGGACTCGTCCCCACCGCGTCGCTCGTACAGCTTGTCCCGCTGTCGCTCCTGGATCTCCTTCATCTCGTCCGCATACCGGCAAAAGGCGCCCCCGAACTTGCCCCAGGCCTTGAAGGGGACAGTGATGGCGTTGCGGTAGGACGGCTTCACCTCGCTCACGCGCAAGAACACGCCGTACTTGTTGCAGCCCACGTCGAAAAAGAAGCGCTTGGAGTCCACGGTGATGGAGGTGCCCTCCGGGAGCTCGCCGTACAGGCCGCCGCCCGGGCCTCCCGCGCCGCCGCCCGCGCCGCCCGCCAGCTCGTCGTCGTCGCCGCCGTAGTCGTCGATGAGCTTGGCCAGCGCGTCCCGGAACTCGATGAGGCCCTGCGCAGGTAGCGCGATGGTCTGGCCGCTCTGCAGGCCGCCGGGCCCGGGGCCGCCGCCGCCGCGGTTGACCGTCTGTCGGATGCGCAGGAAGCGGCCACGCTGGTTTTCCTTGAGATCCAGGTAGTACTTGCGGTTCTCGCGCACCAGGAACTCGCTCTTGAGCGCGCGCCGCGGTCCGCCGCCCTCCTCGGCTCCCGCCGCCGCCGCCGCCACCTGCTCGGGGCTGCTGGGGCCCAGCTGCGCGTAGTGCTCGATGAAGTCGCCCAGGTAGTCGCGAAACTCGGCGGCCACCGCCATGGACAGCGTGAGGCGGCTCTTGGAGCCTCCCGCGCCCACCTCGGCGATCTTGAGGAAGCGACCCTTGGCGTTCTGCTTCACGTCCAAGTAGAAGCGCTTGTTCTGGATGTCCAGCCGCTTCGAGGCCAGCTCCTGCGTCTCCTGCTCGCCGACGCGGGCCGCGGGCTGGAAGCCGCCAGGCCCGCCGCCGCCGCGTTCGCTGCCGCTGTCGCCGTCCGCCATCTTCTCGGCCGCCGCCGCCGCACCTCGGCCGCCGCCGCCGCCCGCTGCGCTCGCGTCCGCCCTCCGCCCTGCGGCTCGCTCTCCGGGGCCCCCAGCCTCGCCCGCCGGCCGCTCACGCGCTCCCGCTGCTCATCGCCAGCCGCCGCCGCCGCCGCCCCCCATCGCCCCGCGCTCCGCCCCGCCACTTCCGCCCGGCTCTCGCCAGCTTCCGGCGCGCGCCCCTTGACGCCACCCGCTCCGCCCACACGTCCTCGCGGCCGGAAGCGCCGCGCCCGCGGCGTCGGGGCGCGAGGCAGTGACGTAGAGTAGTGACGGGGCGCGAGGCAGGGACTTACTAGGTTGCGGAGGGCGCAGGAAGCCGGGGGCGGGGGCGTTGTGCCTCCCCCTTGCGGTCGCGTGTCTCCGGGGTGCCACAGTGCCGCGGTTTTGATTGTTATTACTTTTAAAGGTAGAGGAAGTAAAGGACGGGGCTGGCGTTGCCGGGTCATCAGTTCTCGGAACAAAGCGCGCCTGGTAGTGTTGCTGGGCAACGGCCAGGGAGTGGCGGGCGCTTTGCGTCACGTGGTCTCGCGGTGACGTCATCCGCCGCCGCGAGGGCGGAAGGAGAGCGGGCGCGAGGAGCGGTCCCTGCTGGCCGCCGCGCGCGTTGCTTGGGGCGCGGGTGTCCCGGGTTTAGGCGGCAGGGCACGGGAGCCTCTTGGGGAAATAAGCGTGCCGCGACGGGGCGGCCCTGGGGGGGTTCCTCCGCGTGCAGAATGGGAGCGATAAGCACATGACATAATGCGTGCAAAGCACTGAACCGCGCGCTGAGTAGTTATCAGCCCTTCTCGGTTCGTGAAAAAGACCCAATCAAAATCAGGGTGATCGCTAGCAACCAAACATGGGACAGTACGAAAATATCAGACTTGGGGCTCAGAAAGGACCCCAGCTTCAGGCTGTGAGAGCGGACACGACTCCTAAGTGCTAGGGAAGGAATGGAAGACAAGTCCTCACCCGGCCCTCGTGCAAGATGTGCACGCGGTTGCTTGTCTCAGTTCTTGCTGACGGAGCACCGCGCTGCCCGGTCCTGTCGGTTGGCACGGAGAGCACGCTGCTTCCTGCTCACTTCTGTCAGCTTGCTCCTGATAGTGAGCTTCTGTCTGCGGAGTTACACCTATTGCTTGTTTCCTTTGGGATTTCATTAGGCCTACACTCTCCCCTTTCACGTATTTGATAACCTCATATTTTTTTCAGACGTTTTACAGTTCGGCTTTTTAATATATGTGATTACATTGTATATTTAACGTTTAATTCTAGTTTGTAATACATTTTGCTGCATGCTGTGAAGCAGAGAATGTAAAAAATGTTCAAATGGCCAATTGTCCCAGTGCTATTTATTGAAGAAGGACAGATCTTGACAGGTGGAGATGGGGATTATTTTGGGCAGAGAGAACATATGTTCCCAGATGGCAAGAAGTCTGTTTGATGGGGAGCCCAAGGTCTGTGAGGAGGGGTGGTGCACATCACAGTGGGAGGGCCTTGACCTGTAGACAAGGGCTTGGACTTGGGTCAAGGGAGCCCCAGTGCTGTGTGAACAGGAGTGTGACACATCTGCTCTGTAAGTCCAAGAAGTGACCCATGGCACAGGACAGCATGGTGGGCTGGAATGGGGGACAAGGACTGTCACAGACCCAAGGGAGCGGGGACTGGACATGCCTTTGGGGCAAGAGAAGCATCAAGATAAAAAACCAGATATGGGGTAGTGCAAGAGGAGTAGAACTGATTTTAGAGTGCCCAGGGCTGCTGTGGAGGGCCAGCGCTGGGGCTGATTGGGAGCACCAAACAAGACCTTGGGGTCCTCCTGCATGCAACTCACAGTGACTGGTACATGACATGGGCCATTTTGATGCGTCTTTGGAATGTCAAATTCTTTTCCCAGAAGTTTATTTCTTCTTAGTGGCCTTAAGCACCTGCCGTGACTGCCTTTTCGCAAATCCGGCACAAATGAGAAAGGGCCCAATTGTTGGTTGGCATGTTAAATTTGAGGAGCTGGCCGGCTGCCTGAGGGGAGACCTCTAGGCAGCTGTGGGACCCAGACAAGCTAAGTCGAGAAGAGGGACAGCAGGTTGGAGAGCCTCAGGCAGACAGGGTGGGTCAGACATGAGCCCCCCAGGAGGCTGGGAGGGGGCCGGGGCAGGCAGACCAGATGGGGGTTGAAAAGCTGAGGAGCCGATGTCACACTTCATACTGAGCCTGCATGTCAGCTTCCCACAGTCTCTGGAGGAGGGCGAGAATCCTACGGCTCTTAAGAGGTAGAGCAGAGAGCACTCGTGGCAGTTCTAAATCCTGCCTCTCACGCCGCTGTCTGGGGGTCATGGAAGCCAAATGTCACAGAGCTAAGGAGGAACGCAGGTGGAGGAGGCAAATGGCAAGGGAGGCATCAGGCTGCCTTCCAGAGGCCTGAGCTGACTCCGAGACTGGAGGATGCGGGGGTCGGCCATGAAGTGAGGGCCTGCAGTGACCAGGAGATGGGCACAGAGGGAAGGGGTTGGCCCTGGAAGGCGAGAGGGTGTCCTTTCTCTTCTGTGCCCAGGGAGAGTAGGAGAGAGACACAGCGGCTTCCGGGAGGGGAGAAGGGGCGTTGGGCCAAAGGTTGCACCTGTTCCAGGGCCCGAGTGAGAGCTGCCTGCCGGGTGGGAAGCTTGAGCATGACTAGAATCCCCCTGAGCAGCTGGTGTGGCCGAGGCTGGGGCAGAAGCACACTGCTTCCTGCAGCCACTGAGAGCAGCTGTCCCTGGGTGGGAGGCGCAGATGGCAGCAGGCCTTGCCAGGGTTGAGGACACAGGCAGGGGACTGGGGACTGGGGTCCATGGCCTCAGATGGATGGATCTTCTGGTTCCTTCCCTGCCCCTCCCTGTTATTTTTTATATTAAGTTTAAAATTGAAACAGAACTGTTCAAGAATAATACTCTTGATACAGATCCCCCAAATGTCAATATTTCCCTACTTTTGCCTCATCTCTCTCTGTTTTTTTCTTCCCTGGAACCGTTTGAGAATAAGGTGCAGCCACGATGCCCTGGTGATTGGGGTGCCATTCCCATGGGCGCTGAGATTTCGGCCGGCACCCTGTGTGACACCCTGGTCACGGCATCCACCTGGTGTGCATCAAAGCCTCCAGTGACCTCTTCCTGCGCCAGCCACAGAGATTGCCTTGTGCAGCCTGGCAGAGGCCCACACCTCCTGTCCTTCCGGGGATGTCTGTCCTCTGCGAGGTAGAAAACCAATTCCCTGCTTTGGTGTTGAGTTCTGGGCACAGTGTCTAGCCTTGGGGCATGTCAGTCAAGGCAGTGGCTCTCCAGGATTTGTAGCTCCTCTTGGCCTTAAAAATGTAGCTCTTGGGGCACCTGGGTAGCTCAGTCCATTAAGCATCCGATTTTGGCTCAAGTCATGATCTCACGGTTTGTGGGTTCGAGCCCCACATCGGACTTTGTGCTGACAGCTAGCTGGGAGCCTGGAGCCCATTTCAGATTCTGTATCTCCCTCTCTCTCTGACCCTCCCCTGCTCATACTGTCTCTTTCTCATAAATAAATAAGACATTAAAAAAAAAAAAAAGCAGCACTCAGGTGCTCCTAGAGGTGGACACAGCTTGGAGCGCACTTGCCAAAACCCTGATGGTCCCACGCTCATCGGGCCTGCCATGCGGCCTTGGGAGACTAGGTTCCTCCTCAAAGCACCCCAGCCTCCGCTGCCCAGCACTGGGGGAGGTGAGCGGCCTCACTCCTGCTTCCTGCCCTGGGCAGCGAGGAGGAGGCCGCATGCACCGCCCTCCAGCTCTTAAACGGCCTTGCCCTTGCTGGTGCCCTTCCTGGTTGTGTGCTGACGTGTCCTGCATGCTCCCCCATTCTGTGAGGACTCCGCGTGGAGTTGAGAGCATGTGCTCATCAACCTCAGAAGTACTTTCGCCTGTGGAGGGGATTATGTTTGTTGGACAAGACAGATGAAACCCCCAACAGAGGAAACTTAAGAGGAACAGAATCCCGGGGCACCCGACTGTCTCCGTCGGTAGAGCACGCGCCTCAGTCTCAGGGTTGTGAGTTCTAGCCCCACATTGGCCTGGGGCCTACTTAAAATAAACTTAAATAAGTTAAATAAATAAATCCTTAAAAAAAGAAAAAGAAAAAGGAGCAAGATCCCCAGAAATAGGATAACTAGAGACTGTATTAGCTGGTTACAATCAGGGTCACCTGTGTTTGAACCCAGTCACTCATACCCTCAATGGAGGGCGACCTCTCTGGGGGACAGCAGGGCGTGAGGAGCACCCTCCCAGCTGCTCGGGGACCTGTTTGCCCTTTCCCTGCGACCCTGCATCTCGTATGGTCTTTCCACAGAGCTAGATGGCAGCCGTCTGCACTGGCTTCTCATTTCATCTAGAAAATCCTAGGGTTTTGCCCACACCCCAGGGCTTCCTGGGGACTTTGCTTCTGCCTCCCTGGCCCCTTCCAAAAGGCCGTTTGGCTCAGCACCAGGCCCCTGCCTGGTGACTCCATCTGCCCTTTGCTCAGCCAGACGAGGGCCTCCCGCAGGCTGGTGATGCTGAGGCCCCAGCACAAAGCAAGGCGGCCTGATCAAGAGAGGATGGTTTCTGGCCCAGCAGTGGCACTGACAGCTCGAAGCAAGTCACAAACACGGACAGGAGGAGATTAGAATCCGTGGTGGCAGCATGAGCTTGTGGTTTCATCACACAAGTAAGCGCGCATGCACACAGGCACAAACACACGGATGGGTACAAAGGCGCAGACACAGATAGATGCGGAAGTCTATACATGCAGACACGTAGGTGTGGGCGTACATACTTATACACGTTTCCTAGAAGTGAGGTCACTCCAGCGCAGTGAGCACACCCAGCACCCAGATCGTGGCTGCTGCTTTTTAAAAAATATTTATTTAGGGGCGCCTGGGTGGCTTAGTCTGTTAAGCGTCCGACTTTCGCTTAGGTCATGATCTCGCGGTTTGTGGGTTTGAGCCCCGCGTCGGGCTCTGTGCTGACTGCCAGCTCAGACAGAGCCTGTAGCCTATTTCAGAGTCTGTATCTCCCTCTCTCTCTGACCCTCCCCTGCTCACACTGTATCTCTCTCTCTCTCCTAGAAAT